ATCCTGAAAAAAATGGAGAGAGATCCGGAAACACCGAGCTACAAATATCAGCATCATCAAGCATATTTAGCATTGTTATTACGTACACTGCTCGTATAATAACTCGTTATCACGTATCAGTTTCGTCGCGATACAGATTGTGTTGCATGGTTCGTCGAAGAACTTAGATGATTAGCACATAGAGTAAAATCTATTATATCCACTAATGTACCCATGGCAGATTTCACGCGAAACGATTGGGAAAGATTTCACAATGCCACACTGTCACGTGTGCGAGAAACCGTTCTTGCCTGACGACTCGCGGGTACGCGATCACTGTCATTTGACCGGGCAATATAAAGGTCTGGCACATTCAAATTGCAACTTAAATTATCAAGATTCGCATTACATTCCTGTAGTTTGTCACAATTTGTTTGGCTACGATGCGCATTTTGTTATTAAGGAAATTGTTGTTAATGTCGTGCAGGTTTCGAATAACTTATTAGACACCAGTCGATTAATGATATACAAGGTTTATTATAACTTTCTTATATATAGCCTTGACGTGGCAAGGAAAGCAGCGTGCGAATACGCGGGAACGAACTCAATACAATACAAAGGAGAATAGACAAGGAAACGAAAAGTAACTAAGGCGCATGTGGTAATCGCGATCAATAGGAACAAAGCAAAAAACCGCAAAAAGAAAAGATACAATTTCGTACAACAGAAATAGCTGAAGCATACAAGGGCCGTGTAGAACTACTTCCAATAACGATAGAAAAATATTTATCATTTACAAAAAATGTCCAAAGCACCGAAGATAAAAAGAATCGAAATATTTGTATAAAATTGCGATTTATCGATTCATATAAATTTCTCAGTTTTAGTCTCAACAAATTGGCGTCAAATCTCAGTAAAGAGAAACTTAAGAATATTGCAACGCGAATACTGTAATTTGTCCGCAGAAAATTTCAATCTTCTTACAAGAAAAGGTATATTTCCATACGAGTACATTGACTGTGTCGAAAAATTGAATGATAAATGTTTACCATCGCGAAATTCGTTTTACAGTTCATTGACAGGTGACACCATATCCGAAAGCGATTACGTGCACGTATGCACGGTGTGGCGGCGATTCTCTATCCATACTATTATACTCTACCCAGATTTACGTGGGACGCGATGCTAAAACATACGCGAATCAATTTTGAATTGCTAACTGACATTGACATGGTCATGTTCGTCGAACGCGGTATACGCGGTGGTCTGAGTCAATGTTCCAAGAGATAAGCGCGAGCCAACAATAAGTACATGCAGTCATACGATCCATCGAAACCGTCGTTGTATTTAATGTATTTCGATGTAAACAATTTATACAGCTGGGTAATGTGTCAACCATTGCCGTACAGAGATTTTCAATGGGTCAACGACGTAACAAATTTTAATGTTATGGATGTTGTGTTAGATTCTCCAATAGGCTATATTCTAGAGGTAGATTTGGAATATCCGCAAAATCTTTACGACGCGCACACTGACCTACCGTTCTGTCCGACGCGCGATAAGCCGCCCGGCAAGCGGCAGGACAAGCTCCTCGTAATCGTATACGAGGATAAGCAGCGTTACATCATACATTATCGCACTCTGCAACAGTGTACTTCACGGCCTTCGTATCGCAAAGATTCATCGCGTATTGCAATTCGCGCAATCCCCATGGCTCCGTGATTATATCAAACTAAATACGAAATTTCGAACATTAGCCACGAATGAATTTGAAAAGAATTTGTATAAATTAATGAATAACGCGGTATTTGGCAAAACTATGGAGAATGTGCGCAATCATGTCGATGTGCGGCTTTTAACAAAATGGGAAGGTAGATTTGATGCGGAGGCGATGATCGCGAAACCGAATTTTCACAGTCGTAGCGTCTTTTCAGAGAATCTGATCGCAATAGAAATGCGCAAACTCGAGATCAAGTTTAACAAACCAATCTACGTGGGTATGTGTTTCCTCGACATATCCAAGACTTGTATGAATTTCACACGACTACATGCTACCTTCTTTTCAAGAAAAGTGTAAAGTAATGTACACCGATACTGATAGTCTTATTTACCACATCGAATGCGACGATGTGTATGAAATTATGAAGCGTGACATTAGGAAATTTGATACGAGCAATTACGCAGTTGATAATGTGTACAGTATTCTGCTCGCTAATAAAAAGGTTCCGGGCCTGATGAAGGACGAAAACAACGGCGCAATCATGACCGAATTCGTCGGGCTTAGAGCAAAGATGTATGCCTTGCGCGTTGATGGTAAAAAAGGTAAAAGGTGTCAAGAGTAATGTCGTAGCAAAATCGATAGCATTCAACGATTACATGCGATGTCTGCTGGACGAAACTGAAATTACGCGACAGCAATCTTGCATAACATCAAAGTTGCACGAAGTGTATACGATATCCGAGACAAAGCTCGCTCTAAGTCCGTACGATGATAAGCGATACATTGTGCCTGATTCTACCGATCATTCTACTTTGCCATGGGGACATTATAAGATACCACTGTAAATAAAAACTTGCGTACTTGTAATAAAAACATACAGCATATTTGTAATAATCTCATACAATACATATTTTTAATAAATATAATGTTTTATGCATATAATGAAAAAAAACAATTTGTGATATAAATTTATTTTACAACACATTATTTTTGCGTATCCATGAATTATGTGAATCGTCCAATCCCAGCCATTCACGTATACCTTATTCCCTCTTTTGCGCAAAACTTTTTCAACGAGGTACACGTCGGGATTAGCAACGCGATGCAGTTCGTATTCGTAGAATCCTCCGGCTATGGGTTTTCCGCGAGAATCCTCCAAAAGATACGTTACGGGATTATACTAAGAGCTGGCTACATGGGATGCGACATGCCTCGGTACATGAAATATTTTTCCTGGAAAAGGTTCGATTGCTGCCAGCAAAGCGAAAGCCCGACTGTCAGAAGGTGCGCTGGAAGACAAGTGCGTGGGCGGACGATCAAACGTGTAAATTGTCCAACTAAAAAAACTGTCGA